AAAAAAAATGAAACAAGACCCATACCTCACACCATGCACAAAAACTAACTCAACACGGATCAAAGACCTAAACATAAAATCTAAAACGATAAAGATCATGGAAAAAAAAACAGGGACAATGCTAGGAGCCCTAATACACGGCAGAAACAGAATACAAACCGTAAGTAACAATGCACAAACAGCAGAAGAGAAACTAGATAACTGGGAGCTCCTAAACATCAAACACTTAAGCTCATCAAAAGACTTCACCAAAAGAGTAAAAAGACAACCTACAGACTGGGAAAAAATTTTTGGCTATGACCAGTCCGATCAGCGTCTAATCTCTAAAATCTACAAGATACTGCAAAACCTCAACAACAAAAAGACAAATAACCCAATAAAAAAATGGGCAAAGAATATGAACAGGAACTTCACCAAAGAAGACATTCAGGCAGCTAACAGACCCATGAAAAAATGCTCACAATCAATAGCCATAGAGAAACGCAAATCAAAACTACAATGAGATACCATCTCACCCCAACAAGGCTAGCATTAATCCAAAAAACACAAAATAATAAATGTTGGAGAGGCTGTGGAGAGACTGGAACACTTATACACTGTTGGTGGGAATGTAAAATGGTACAATCACTTTGGAAATCAATTTGGCGCTTCCTTAAAAAGCTAGAAATAGAAGTACCATATAATCCAGCTATCCCGCTCCTTGGAATATATCCTAGAGAAATAAGAGCTGTCACATGAATAGATATATGCACACTCATGTTCATTGCAGCACTGTTCACAATAGCAAAAAGATGGAAACAACCTAGGTGCCCATCCATGGACGAATGGATAAATTATGGTATATTCACACAATGGAATACTACACAATGATAAAGAACAATGAATCCATGAAACATCTTATAACATGGAGAAATCTGGAAGGCATTACGCTGAGTGAATTTAGTCAGTCACAAAAGGACAAATATTGTATAAGACCACTATTATAAGAACTCAAGAAAAGGTTTAAACACAGAAGAAAACATTCTTTGATGGTTATGAGGGTGGGGAGGGAGGGAGAGGGGTATTCACTAACTAAATAGTAGACAAAAATCATCTTAGGTGAAGGGAAGGACAGCACACACTACAGGGGAAGTCAGCACAACCGGACTAAACCGAAGCTAAGAAGTTTCCTGAATACAACCAAACACTTCGAGGGACAGAGTAGCAGGGTTGGGGGTCTGTGGGCGTCTTGGTCAATTGGCATAACAAAGTTTATTAATAAAATGTTCTGCATCATACTTTGGTGAGCAGCATCTTGGGTCTTAAACGCTTGCAAGCGGCCATCTAAGATGCATCAACTGGTCCCAACCCACACGGAGTAAAGGAGAATGAAGAATACCAAAGACACAAGGAAAATATTAGCTCAAGAGACAGAAAGGGCCACATAAACCAGAGACTGCATCAGCCTGAGACCAGAAGAACTAGATGGTGGCCGGCTACCACCAATGACCACCTTGACAGGGAACACAAAAGACAGTCCCTGATGGAGCAGGAGAAAGGTGGGGTACAGAACTCAAATTCTAGTAAAAAGACCAGACTTAATGGTCTGAAACTGGAGGAACCGCAGAAAGCATGGCCGCCAGACTGTTAACCCAGCACTAAAACCATTCCCGAGGCCAACTCTTCAGACAAAGATCAGACCGGACTATGGGACATAAAATGATACTCGTGAAGAGTGTGCTTCTTAGCTCAAGTAGATAAATGAGACTAAATGGGCAGCTCCTGTCCAGAGGTGAAATGAGAAGGCAGAGAGGGTCATGAGCTGGTTCGATGGACACAGGAAATTCGGGGTGGAAAGAAGGAGTGTGCTGTCACAGTATAGCGAGAGCAATTAGGGTCACATAACAATTTATGTGTAAATTCTTGTATGACAGACTAACTTGAATTGTAAACTTTCACTTAAAGTACAATTAAAACAAAACAAAAATAACAAAAAAAGTTTTAGAGTATTAATGAGTTTGTTATTAAAAAATATGCAACTGGAATTTTGACAGAGATTGCATTGGATTTATAGATTTGGAGAAAATCTGACATCTTTATTGTATTGTTACCCTACTCAAGAGCATGGAATCTGCATGTACTTAGATAATTATCTACACCCTTTATTAGTTTAACAGTTTGTTTCCACTGATGTTTTGTTGCAATTATAAATAGCATCTTATTGAGTATAATTTTGTCAATGATGGTGTAAAGAAATGCTACTGATATTTCTAAGTTCTTCTTGTGTCTGGCAACTTTGCTGAATGTTTAGATTCTAATAGTGTGATCAACTTGATTTTCTTATTAATGAAACCAGAAAGGCTCCCTCTGGTGGCTTAATCTAACAACTATGTCCTTGCTTAGAGAAATTAATAAAGGAATTTTTATTCACAAGCCTATCCTTTAACTGGACCCCCAAGCCAAGTTTGTAGTAGAATGTTTCTCTAAATGTTCCTTGAGCACCAGTGCAATGAGATACTCACGGGTAAGAGGGCTCCACCATTTATAAGATTTGAGGAACACAGTATATCCTCTTGGAGACTCAGAATGTGCATTAGCAAATTAAAAAGTTCCTAGGACTGCAGTCGAGAAAATGTTGAACTCTTCTGAACATTTCAGATCACTAACTTTCCCCAAATAACGTTTTTGAAATGCCCTATTTAAATATCTACAAATTACTTGTATTTACGTCTTCTACATCTCAGAAGACCAGGGGAAGCCTGCCAAGATTTGAGCTCTTTCCTGTGTGAATGAGTTTTAATCCTTTCTCCTTCTAGATTAGAACTATGTTTTTATTACTATTTAAAATAATTTATTTTTTGTTGTTGAGAACATAGTCTCATTCAACAATTTCTACATTTACAATTCAGTGACACTGATTACATTCTTCAAGTTGCACAAACATTCTCATCTTTCTTTTCTGAGTTGTTCCTCCCCCACTGACATAAACTTACTGTCCCCAAGTTTCCTATCTAAACTTTGCAGTGCTGTTGTCAATTTGATCCCATATAGATGGCTCTTTAAAGAGCACAATGCTCAAGGCAGATATTCTTTACTAATTAAGCTAAACTGTTGTTTAGTTTTAAGAAGACTTCGGGGGACAGTTCTGGTTTAAGGTTTAAAGATTATCTCAGGGCAATAGTTTTGGGGGTTCATCCAGTCTCAGTGGCTCCAGAAAGCTTGGATTCCGTAAGAATTTGAATTTCTGTTCTGTAATTTCACCCTTTTGATCAGATTCTTCTATAGAATCTTTGATCAAAACATGGCACTGTTTTGATGTGTTCATTGAAGGCAGCAAAAATAGTTATTGCTCACTCCTATTTATTTAACATATTTTAACACATGTGTAGTGGTAATAGGACTCTGACATATAGATTGTTGAATTTAACTTTTAAGTCAGTCTATCTTTGTGAAGAGTCCCTGTGTGGTGTAAAGGTTAATGTGCTCAGCTGCTAACTGGAAGGGTGGAGTCTATCTGGAGGTGCCTCAAAGAAAGGCCTGGTGATCTACTTCCAAAATCTTTGCCATTGAAAACCCTATGGAGGACAGTTCTACTCTGACACACATGGGGTTGCCACGAGTTGGAATTGACTGCAACTTTTCTTAATCTTTATAAGGTAAATTACTTAAATCTTTATTCTTGTATTTTCCATTCTGGACTTAAAAAAAATCCTCCCCCCCTCACTTATTTGCAGCGGTATTCTTTTTTTTTTAAGCCAAGGATTCCTTAGTTTAGGTGAAATCTTATGCTAAGATCATTACGTATAAGAAGTCAGAGCAGAGTTGAAACAGGAGTGCAAGGCCCCAGTGCCCTGGAAGCTCAGCTCCACCTTGAGGCAGCCGCATAGAACAGTTTAGACAATTATTTTCTGTTAAGATTGGAATGTCTCCAGCTACTGTAACTTGTTACTTAAATAAACAACTTTTGAACCCTAATACGCTTTCTCCTGAGAATTAAAGATTTCATTTTATCAGAGTAGTGTGGTATGGTGGGAAGAACCTGGGGCAGAGGCAAGAGACTTGAGGTTTAGCCCCAGGTCGGCTACCATGCAGATGCGTGAACGTGGCAGTGCCTCTCTGGACCAATCTCTTGTTCTGTGGAATACAGGTGTGCATGTGTGGGGGTGAGGTGGGCTGCGTGGGTGTGGAGACCCCTGAAATCCATCAGTGTGTTTTCAACTGCTCTGAGCCCTCACAGAGGTTGGAGGATGAATAGATGGAACTTCAGGCCCCCCACTCCTCTCCCACTTCCTTCAGTAGAGCAGCTCTATTTGTTGGTAATCAGTTTTACCTTGGGCTTTATGAAAAACTTCATTTGAATGAAAAGCAGAACTCCATGGCTTAAAAATAAGTATAAAAAAATCACTCTACTAGGTAATCTCTATGGTCATTTTCAGTCATCTCCAGCTTCAAAATTTTAATTTGGAGATTTAAAAAAATTATTTTTTATTTTATTGTACATCAGGTGAAGGTTTATAGAACAAATAGTTTCTCATGAAACAGTAGTACACATATTGTCTTATGATATTGATTAACAACCCCACGACATGTCAACCCTCCTTTTTTTTTTTTTTGGTGAAAATACACATAGCCAAAGATACACCATTTCAAAAATTTCTACATGCACAGTTCAGTGACATTGACTACACTCTTCCAATTGTGCTGCTATTCTCACTTTAGATGAAGGTTTATAGAACAAAACAGTTTCTCATTAAACAGTTAGTACACGTTGCCCTATGACAATGGTTAACCACCTCACAACGCATCAACACTATCCTTACTCAACCTTGGGTTCCCTGTCACCAGCTTTCCTGTCCCCTTCTGCCTTCTAGTCCTTGTCCCTGGACTGCTGTGCCTCATTAGTCCCATTTGGTTTTATGGGGCTGTCCACTCCCGGGCTGAACGGTGAACCTCGGAGGTGACTTCACCACCGAGCTAAAAGGGTGTCTGGGGGCCGTACTCTCGGGGTAAAAAAATTTTTTAACCAAGATAAAAAATAAACTTTACCAGGAATAAATCATTTTTAACTGAGGCGTAAATCATGATAAAACCTTTCCTTGGTGAAGAACTCGAACTGTAGGGTTTTTGTTGTTGTTGTTGTTTTCCAGTCAGCAGAGAATCACCACCTTGAACGAGAGTTCACTGGCCCAACAGCATTAATGCTCCACAGGACTCTTATTAAAGGAACAAACACTTCACTTTTCTTTTCCATGTTACTACCTAAATGTAAGTGATGTATACTGAAGATACTATACACAAAGAACGCAAATTGAGGGACTGATTTAAAAAAAACAACTCACTTTATTTTTATGTTATAAAAACAAAACTTGTTACAAGTAATCACGAAGCTTCCAAAAAATTACATTCTGCTTTTGTCACCTTAATAGGGGAAGGAATGTCCTTGAAACACAGGGTTGTCAAAGCTGATGAATAACAAACTACTACAACTATGGATGGCCACTTCAAGCACACTAAAATATGGAATACATGTACATAAATTACAGACCACGCTTCTAAAGTACAATGAGTATTCACTACAGCTTATAGTACCAGGAAGGTAACATGCCCCAAAATATACCACAAGACCACAAACATGTTCAGATAAAATAATAAATTCAACTCCTGGGTTCAATTAAGATTGAGGTGAAATGGCTGAAGAAACTCTTAAACTTGGAGGACATGTACAATACAGTGAACGTAAATCAGTACTCACTGTGACTCCCACTTGGGGTTGAGAAACATTGGGAACAGTATCGCACAATAACAAGACTAGCCACTTTTATTCTCCTCAGTCCCCCATTTGAACTAGGAAGACTGGGGACTAAATAGAAAATATTACAGAAAACATATATTATCTGCATAGATGTAAATCTTCCATTACGACAAGGATGAACATTCAGTCAAAGTTATGCAGGAGTTCCAAGAATTAACAGGACACAATTTTGTTTCAAAAGAAAACGTAGGTTTACAAGATAGAACGCCTATCTAATTTAGTCAAGGGTCTGAAACTGTCACTTTTGCTTAAACAGGTAGAGACACTTTGACTCAGCCCAAGGCAAGTTCTTCTTGATAATGGCTGATAGCTTCTATTTTGAACATGACCATTTTTACCATCTTTTTGGTCTATGAACCTATCGGCTGTTGTAATTTTCAGCTGCTATGCTGCTTGTATATTTGGTAATAATAACAATATCTCCAACTTATTGACATTTTTTTCTTGATTTATGATTAAAGAAGACAATGGCATTCCTACAAAGATGGCTACTGACCCTTACTCCAAAGTGAGATAAAGAGCAAACAAGTATCAAACAAGCTCATAAATCTTATTCTTTAAATTTATTTAACTTTTTAAAAGTGTAACTTCTGTAACATGGATTTATCTCCCCAGCTAGAAGGCAGGTACTTCCCAAGTCTCTTGTTCCTGCATATCGTCACACTCATTGTAAGTAATTGATTTCCTTTAGCGTAGGAAGATGTTAATGCAAAAGGTGTAAACAAAGGAGCACACTGAGAGGGAAAAGCAAACACTAGCCAAGTTCACCTGTATGATAGGTATGAGGTACATAACTCTGCGGAAAAGAGAAAAACCCACAGGCAGTAAACCTGATGCATCATAGAACTCAGTATATTTTCCACTGCTTAATTATGTTTGAGATTTTCCCCTTTTAAAATAGAACCATGATCTGTAAAATACTCTGTATAAAATTATGAAGCAATAGATCAGTCTTCAATTTTTAATAGGACTCAATTTTACAAGGGCTATAAACTCTTCCCAAATCACATCAGATCTCATTCTGTTTCATTAGAGTCATATTTTACGTATGAGTATTTATATCTTAATCTCATTACTATTAAAATCTAGGAAAGTCTACAGAGAATGCCAGTGAAACCGCTGGCTACCAAGATAATGTTATTTAAGCAGATTCCAATTCCAATGGTTTAATGAAAACAAAAACACAAAACATGGAACATCAAATTCATTAATTAAAATGACTAAGTCACCAACTTCGTCAGATAAGATTTTTCTTATGCACTGCATCCTATCAGGGGAAAGAGGATTTTTTTTTTTTCTTATGATAAGAATTAGTATTCACTGCTTTCAAGATTAAGAGGGCAATGCAAGAAAAAGCAGGAAGAGCACTAGCCCGGGAGCTGGGAATGCTGCCTCTAGTCCTCAGGCTTCCACCACCTTGCTGCAGACCCCTAAGTGAGTCACATGACCTGTTTCCTAATTGGTGTAACACGAGGACCGGATGGTATGTTTTCTAAACTTGCCTTCAACTCTGTAACTGAGATTCTAAGAAAACCAAACCTTTTCCCTTTTTATCACAGCATTTTTAAAAGACAGAATATGAATGGAAAACAAAAAAGACTATGTCCTTAAAGAATGAAAGTACTGCACCTGACCTCTACCTCCAAGTACCTCTTCAATCCAGAACTTAAGAAGTTCCTAGTTTTTTTTTTATTTGACTCTTAATCACTGAAAAGTTTTAGTGTATAACATTGAAAAGAAGCAGAATGTGAGAAGATCAGTTTGCTTTTCACCTGATTTTCAGCTGCCCAAAAGAAGGGAACTGTTCTTATCCATTTCTGCCTTTTAGCACCTTAAACCTAGTGGATGCTCACCAGTACACTTTTTAAATTGATTTATCTTGTTTCATCAGCTGGGTATGATAAATCTAGAACATAAGACAATATATTGCAGGTTCTGTCAACTACCTTATTAAATGTTATGGTTTTCTTTTCTTTCACGGATGTTTTTTCCTAATGCAAAGCATCATTTTCTTTCCTCACAATTTACTGAATAATTTGATTCCCAAAAAGGGATTATAATTGCTAAGGACAATGTGGTTAGCATATTATGCAGAGTTGAATCCAAGTAATAATTCAATTTCAAAGAAGAAATAAAGTAGATGAATTTACTAAAAAGAAAAAAAAAAAAAAAGATGCATGAGAGACTCATCTCTTGCAATATGGTTACATGAACTGGGTATGAAATAACCAAAATTAATGATAGAGGTCATAGTACCTGCTGAGATTCTGCTTGATTTCACAATATTAAAAAGTTGATGGGCACTTAGTAGTTTTTCTTTTAGAGTTCATCATATAGAAATATTATACTAGAATGAAAATATTAAATGACTCAATATATATTTTTCAAATTTTGGTTTAAAATTTTCTTCAATTTATTCAATACTCTTAAAAAACAAACCAGCAAACAAAGAACAGATTTTTAAAATCAGGTAATATGCATTGTTTGATTAAAAAAAACTTTTACATTTTTGGGATATAATATTCCTCAGCTGGCAGGTAGAGAATGAAAGCCAAACCAAGTAAGACATGCTGGGTTTTCATCACTGAGAAAATCATAGTGAATCAACATTCCCTACCAGGAAATTAGAAGAATTTCCAACTGTTGAAAATACATACATTTCCTGATACCTAGGCTCCATTCTGCAATGATAAATTAGTATAGCTACGTAAGATCAAAAACTAGCACAACGCTGAGTTCAGACCTACAAAATAAACTAAGTGGCTGTCAGTTAAACTACCAAATGATGATCTGGATTTAATAAACTGCTTATGGAATGGCAAATTTCAACTGAATTTACACTGGGGTTTGCAGTGGCGGATATATAGAAAGAGAAGAGTTTACCACTTCAGAGTATTTAAGGGCAAGTAAAATATAGAAAACTTAAAAAAGATTTTTGCAATATAGTTTAAGCCCACAGAAATAAATTCTACCATACTACGAACAGCTAAACCATAATAGCATGTTACCAAAAACATACAGACACCGTGGCCTGAACTTCTGCATTTTCCTTTCTTTGTAATAGCAGCCACATTGGTTTATTAGTCCAAACTCATATGTACAACTCCTCCCCAGACATGCCAGGGAGTTCCCGACATCTGTCATACCAAGAAATGGCACAAAGAGGAGAGACTCAGCAGACCCACTGGACCAAAAGCAAAGCATTCTAAGTTACAATACTTTTCTATAAAAGCGACTTCTAAGTCTGAATAGACTACAAAGGGTTAAAAAGATGCTGCTTCGACTTTAGGAGGCTCAAGTACACAATCTATAACACGGATGAGAAACAATTCTGTTTTAGTGAAAAATGCCAACTGAAGGGCTAAAAATTTCACCAAAAAGAAAAGTATGATGGATGAAAAGATCTCCTCCCCTTTCCCTAACTCACAAGAATACAGTACGTGTAAACTTGTCTTTCAAAGCAAGCTGAAAATAAATGGAACATTTAAAAATGGCCTTCAGAAAATCTGCTCATCAGCTTTTACATTTGATATACGCAAACGTACATACAGCACAGAAAAGCTCAAGAACTAGTGGTTGACACAACACTGGAAAAGGTAAGAGGATAAAAAACTGGTGGCTGAAGACAGTTCTTTACAAGCTACAACACGGTCACAAACGGCAGAGTGCCATAGCCATCTGCAGTCGTAATCAGCCAAGCTCACTGGTGATACGTCCCGCTTTCAAAGTAGTCGTCCTTTCCGGGCAGCCTATCTCTGGAAGGGATGACTATGGAATGGTGGTCTGTGCATCACTTTCCTCTGACTCCAAGAAGGGAACAACACACACATAGATTTGTGCCATTTGATTCTGATAAAATGAATTTGGCAAGACTTCCCCAAAGCTAAAGAAAAAAATACTTGAAAAAAAATGATTTTCTACGAATTAGCCTATATTTCAGATTTCTTTTCGTGCAAAAAATTTCATGTATACCGAATAACAATGAACCTTTGATCCATATATTAGCTAGAAGCTATTATAGCAGTACAAAAATACCCACGCTAGATTATTAAAATTGTAAGTCTATTTTTAAATTCATAAAAACGGTACTGCACTGGGTGACTATAGTTTCAGGTTTTGGTACTCCATGCTATATGGAATCAGAGAAACTAACATTGCTGGGGGTAGAGAGGGGAGCCGTTTTCCTAATATGCTACTATTTAAAAATGGTCAAGAGTTGCCACATCTTGGGGGCTAATCCTTGAATGTAAAGTGCCACTCAGAACATCAGTTAGAATTTGGAATAGGTAAAATCAGCTGCTACTCTGTGCCAGCCTGTCTGCAGCACAGGCCTGGTGAAAAGGCTTATGTACTGTGCTGCCTTCACTCCTAGTCTTGCCTACGTTCAGCAGCAGGAAGTGTCCGCGGGGGTCGGGGCTCAGGTCTCCATTGCTGAAGCCCACAGCAGCTGCCTCGCACCTCCGTCAAAGGTGTCACAGGGCACAATCAAAGGCCTGGGGCTCATTCAGTGCTGTGGTCGGAGGGTCGGGGCGCCTTGTCTGGGTGATTTTCTGTTTGGGGTTTTTTGTTTCTTCTTCCTCTTCAGTTTCACTTTCGCAGACATGAACCACCACGCTTGGTGTCGACTCAGTTCCTGCGTGAAGTTCGTATTTCTCTCCTGTGGAAGTGAAATCAGAAACACAGCAAAAGCCTCGCCTCCAGCAAAAAGAAGATTTTTTTTGTCTCTTGCAGTTTCTTGTTCTACTTATAATTTTAATTGCTTTTTTTTTTTTTTTTTTTTAAATCTTTAAATCCTTACATCAGAGTACTTTATCTTGTTTTGGTGTTAGAGGTTTGACACTTTAAGGTTTTTACAAAATTTTTGCAATCTCAAGAAAATTAGCTGAGAAGGAATACTGAGGTCTCAAGAGTTAAAACGTAAATATTACTGTTTTATAAATAGTACAAGTGAATCTGCTTAACTTGACAATGGTTTCAGTTTTTCCCCTAGGAGACACTTGTAAAGTTTCAGGCAGCATCGGCGATCTCTCTGCTTTAGGACCCCAGACATCCAAAACGCAGCACTAATGTGCAGACACAGCGCTAAGCCACCTGTAAGCCAGGTAAAGACATGACGCTGTCTGGGGTAAACGACCAGACTGAACCTGGCATTAATTTCTTATATTATTTTAATGAGATGAGAGAGTTAGAGATATTCAAGAGTGGGAAAAGAAATAAAAAAGAAGAATTTGCAAGGGATGATACAGTATCACCCCCAATTCCTTGAAATACTATTCAGTATAGAAGTTGTCTGTCTGGTACTTTGACGAGGCAGAAGAGAAGCCAACTAATATTCACGTATTATATACTAGTAGCATTTGCAACAATAAAAATTGTAGTTGCATTTACTGAGTATTATGTATATATCTCATTTAATCCTTATAACCACACTGAAAAATAGTGATTATGATTATCCCTAGTTTATAGATGATAAACTGAGGCTCAGAAAATTGAGGCTAAGTAACTTAGTCAAGATTACAAAGGCAACAAACGCCACAGATAGAATTTGAACCCAGGTTTGTGTGACTTTGAGCCTTGGTGGCACAGTGGTTAAGTGCTTGTCTGCTAACCAAAAGGTCGGCGGTTCGAAACCACCTGCTGCTCCATGGGAGAAAGATATGAAGGTTTGTTTCCATAAAGATCACAGCCTTGGAAACCCTATGGGGCAGTTCTATTCTGTCCTATAGGGTTGCTATGAGTTGGAATTGACTCAGTGGCAATGGGTTTTGTGAGACTTCACCTGTCACTCTAATCATGCTGTCACAAGTTGGCTAGAATGCAAATTCCTGAGTATGGTCTTCAATACAAAAGATTCTAGGGAAAAAAAGGAAATATATAAGTTTGTTACCTGGTCCCAATTTGGAAACAGCACAAAGTAAATCATAATTTATCATAGGCATTGCATCTTCACTCTGCTTCCACCCCACTGGAGGGGAGGCTGGGGGGGAGATAAGAAACTGTTTGGCAGGCTGTGGTGGCAGTAAGTACGATTTGTCCCGAGTCTCACTGGACATCTGTACCTGAAAGGAAAGAGAGACTCAAAATCAATTTGCGAACTGGGCTATTTTTTCTTCACTTTCATTTGCTACGGGATTTTTAAAATAAGCATTATGTCTTTTTGGAGAAAATTAAAAATTTCTCTTGAGCAGTCTATAATCTCTAAGCGGGTAGGTCTGGGACTAATTGATTTACCACTGGACACTCAGGTGCTAAGTACTAGCTGAATTTAAAAAAAAGATGACTAGATGAATGAACAAATGAATGGTAGTAACTACAAAATTCCATTCTTAGAAGAGATTAGGTTATGCCGTCTTATTTTATACTCCATCTCAAGTGACTCCTTCTAGACATCTCTTTCATTTAGGTTTTCACTTGAAATGCAAGACAACATGCCTCTCCCTTTTTTAATTTGAAAGTTAAGACCAGGGGGATAAACACACTCTAAAAACAGTGCAAGTAATACGTAAATAGAGGTCTAATAACTCCATTTTGTTAATTCTTCGCAGAAGAAACTGATTTCTGAAAGAGTAACATCAATATAGGATTAGACTAAATATAGCCAATTCTTGGTAACCCACAAGGTCCTCGGCAATTTCAAAGTCTAAATAGCCTGTATGCACACAGTTCTATGCGACCTCCCTGGCCATCCTTTAGCGCAGCAGCCATTTTCAATGCGGGTTCCTCATATGAATCACAGAAAATGATCTGAGAGATTATTTTGTCAGTTGTCCCAAGGATGGTACATTGCTAGTGCCATTCTAGATGTATAGAAGTTAATTCACTAATCTTAGGATGCTAGGGCTTAACCCTTGCGGGACTCCAGTTAAGAACGGCTGCCAGAGGAATAAGTTTCTTTAACTATCAGTCTATGCAAAACAAGGTTAGGAGGGTAACTATGCTTAATAAATAAAACTATCTGTAAAACGAAAGAAAAACTATTATTAGAATATTTGCTGATTGGGATGGTTCATTTCAAAGATCTCTGATATAACAATATAGAAAATTGAGAACTGAAGATGTTTCTGGATGGAGAACAAGTTGAGAAAACAGTGTCACTTGCACTGTGAAATACCTGTGCAAAATACAGCTTCAGTTTCTTCCCGTTGAAGTCTGTTTCGTGGAGTTCTATTCGAGCTCTTGCTGCTGCTTCAGGTTTGCTGAAATTTATTCGGACTCTTCTAAAGCTTTTAAATAACTGAAATGTAACTTGGTCATCATAGATGGTGAAGAGTGCTTCAAATTTCTCCTACAAATTGATGAGCAGCAAGACAGAGAACATGGGGAGGTGGGGTGGAATAAAGAAAAACCTTTAACAGACGGAAATTCAAATAATAAAATATAAACAATGGAGAATGCTATGATTAACATTTCTTCCAAAAAAGTATAGCTTTCTTGCAGACTTGTTATATATTATCCATATGCTAAATGCGGCAGTTTGCATTTATTTTAAAAACAATTGGCTTTGTTAAGTACTGTGTAGACTCAAAAGGTTATAAAATAAATGTAAGGCATAATAAACGATATAAACAAACATGCCTAGCTGTAGAAACAAAACGTTACCAATGTTTTGAAGTCCCCAGTGTGCCAGCTATTTTTTTCCCCATCCCATTCCCTTCCTCTTTCAAGTAACCATTTCCAGAATTTTGTGCTTATCATTCCCTTGCTTTTATTCTATAGTTTTACCACATTTACTTGTATCCCTAAAAATACGGTCATGTTGTATGCATTCTTCTACAATTTGGTTTTTCCTCTAAGATTTTGTTCGTAAGCTTCTTCCTTATGCTGTGTCTAACTGTATGTCATTCTTTTTCACTGCTATATTCTATCATACAGCCATACTACAATTTATCCATTCTATGCTGTTGGAATCTGGACTGCCTTGTTTTTGCTATTGCGGTGCTTTGATGAACATTCTTGTGCATGCCTCTTGGTAACCACTGGCAAGAACTTCTCTGATGTATATAACTACAAACGGAATTCCTGGTCCTTATACTTTGCACATCTTCAACTTTAGTTGAATATCAAATAGTTTTCCAAAGTATTGTTATCAATTTACTCTCTAAGAGCATATAAGTACTTTGGGTGCTTTATATCTTTGCCAACACTTGATGTAGTTAGACCTTTTAAATTTTTACCAATGGGAGGAAGGGAATATGAATTGTCTCTAATTTTGGCTATAATTCACACTTCCCTGAATAATAGTAAGACTGAGCTTCCTGTTTAGCCATTTGGGGTTCCTCTTGATGTGATATGTTGTTCATAACTTTTGCCCATTTTTCTACTGGGCTGTCTTTTTTTATTGATTCATGGGAGTTCTACGGTGATACTAACCAAAATAAAAAAACCAAACCCACTGCTGTCGACTCAATTCTGACTCATAGCGAACCTAGAGGACAGAGTAGAAATGCCCCACAGGGTTTCCAAGGAGCAGCTGGTGGATTAAAACTGCCGACCTTATGGTTAGCAGCCAAATGCTTAACGACCTCGCCACCAGGGCTCCTTTTGAGAACTAGAAGCTTTAAATTACAATGTTACTGAATTTATCAATCATTTCCTTTTGTGTTTTTATGTCTTAAGAAAATCCTTCCATACTCTTGAGATTATAGTGTTCTCCTAGACAGCCTTCTCAAAGTTTTGTTTTGCCTTTCACATTTAAGTCTTGAGTCAACATAAAACAGATGTTTATGTATGAGGTAACCTCTCTCCCCTTCCCCTAGCCCTGGGAACCACCGATCTTTTGTCACTATAGATTAGACTGTATTTTCTAGAATTTTATACAAATAGAATCATATAGTATGTACTCCTTTCTTTTTTTGAAGGTGGGGGAGGTCTAACTTCTCACTGAGCATAATTATTTTGAGATTTATTCATGCTGTTGTATTCTTTCTTCCTTTTTATCGCCACGTAAAGCTCCACTGCATGGATGTTTACCCATTCACCTGTTGATGGGCATTTGGGTTGCTTCTAGTTTTGAACCATTACAAATAAAGTGGCTATGAACATTCTTGTACAAAGTTTTATATAGATATATGCTTTTACTTCTTTTGGGTAAATATCTAAGAGTGGAAGGACAGAATTATATAAGTATGTGATTATAGAAACTACCAAGCTGTTTTCCAAAGCGGTTGTACCATTTTACATTTCTAACAACTGTGTATAGATTTCTAGTTGCTCCACATTCTTGTTAACACTTAGTATTGGAAGTCTTTTTAATTTTAGCCATTCTACTAGGATGCAGCATTATCTCGCTGTGGTTTTAATTTGCATTTCCCTAACAACCACTGACATTGGGCAACTTTTCACAAGCTTATTTACTTCTTTGGTCAAGTGTCAGTTCAAATCTTTTGCCCATTTTTAAATTAGGCTGTCTTCTTATTACTGTATTTTTACGCAAATAACATGCACCTTCTGCGTTTCTTTGCTGGCTGCGCCCTCCCCCCGGGAGGCACCCTCACAAGCACTGCCATGCCAATCCTCTTCCACATGTTGCTGTAAAAAGTTAGCATAGCACACTTAGGAAAACACCTTGCAGAGGGAGGTTGCGGCCAGCAAACAAATGCAGAAGGTGAGCATTATTTGTGTAAAATATGGTAAATTGTAACAGTTCTTTACATATTCTAGATGTAAGTCCTTTGCTGAATATATGTTTTAGGAATATTTTCTCACAGTCTGTAGCTTCCATTTTTCATTTAAGAGCAGTGTCTTTTGAGGAGCAAAAGTTTTTTATTTTCATGAAGTTCAATTTGTTGACTTCTTTATATTTCGTGCTTTTTGTGTCGTATTTAAGAAAATTCTGCCATACCCAAGGTCACTAAGATTTTCTCCAAAAAAATTTTATAGATATTTTATAGCTCAGTTGCTACATTTAGGTTTATGATCCACTTCAAATTAATTTTTGTTTATGGTGTGAGGCAAGGGTCACAGTTAATTTTTTTCCAATCTCTTGTTCCAACACCAATTATTAAAAAGATTATCCTTTCCCCTGTGCACTGACAGCTACAAAAGATGATTGAGAGAAATTAAAGATGCAAATAAATGGAGGGATGTACCTTTTTCCCCCCGCTCTGGGAATCATTTTTTGACATTATTGGTCCTCTCTATTGTATATTTTATTTCATTAATTTTCCTCTTATCTTTATTCTTTCCTTTGCATTTGTTCTTTTTCTATATTCTTAAATGGATGCTTAGTTTATTATCAGCTTTTCTTTTCTAATATAGCATTTAAAGGATATATATTTCCAAGTATTAATTTAGCTGTCCCCCACAAGTTTTGATATATATTATTTTCATTATCATTTGATTCTATATATTTTCTAATTTCCATTATGATTTTTCTTATCTCATGAATTAGATGTGTATTTATTAAATTCCAAATGATGGGAGATGTTTAGTTATCTTTCTAATGTCTCACTTACTTTCACTGTGGCCAGAGGAGGCTGCTTATAATGATACCAATCCTTTCACATTTTTGAGACTTGCTTTTGGTTCAATACGTCATCAATTTTCATAAATCTTCCATGTGTGCTTGAAAAGAATATGTTTCTGCAGATATTGGGTACACTATTGTAAACATGTCCAAGGATATCAGGCTTGTGTTCTTTAAAAGTTTATATCCTGCTTTTTTGTTTTGCTTTTGTCTATTTGAGCTACTGATTACCAAGAGAGGTCTCTTAAAATCTTCCACTATTGATGCTGGCATAACTGGATATCCATTTGTAAAATAATGAAACAGGACCCATACTGCACACCATACACAAAAAGTAACTCAAAATGGATCAAGCACCTAAATATAAAATCTAAAACGATAAAGATCATGGAAGAAAAAAACAGGAACAATGCTAGGGGCCCTAAGATATGGCATAAATAGTATATGAACCATAACTAACAATGCACATATACCAGAAGAGAAACAAGATAACTGGGAGCTCCTAAAAATCAAACACTTATGCTCATCAAAAGACTGCAACAAAAAAGTAAAAAGAGAACCTACAGACTGGGAAAAAAATTTTGACTACGACATATCTGATAAGGGTCTAATCTCTAAAATCTGCAGGATACTTACTGCAACACCTCAACAACAAAAAGACAAACAATTCATTTAAAAAATGGGCAAAGGACATAAACAGACACTTGATGAAAGAAGACATTCGAGCGGCTTACAGACACATGAAGAAATGCTCACGATCATTAGCCATTAGAGAAATGCAAATCAAAACTACAATGAGATACTATCTGACCCCAAGAAGGCTGGCACTAATCCAAAAAATACAAAATAACAAATGTTGGAGTGGCTGTGGAGAGACTGGAACTCTTATGCTCTGCTGATAGGAATCTAAAATGGTATGACCATTTTGGAAAACGATATGGCACTTCCTTGAAAAGCTAGAAATAGAAATACCATACGATCCAGCAATCCCACTCCTAGGAATATACCCGAGAGAAATAAGAGCCATCACATGAATAGACATGCATACTCATGTTCACTGCAGCACTATTCACAGTAGCAAAAAGATGGAAAGAACCTATATGCCCATCAACAGATGAATAGATAAACAAATTATGGTACATACACCCAATGGAATACTATGCAACAATAAAGAACAATGATGAATCCAAAAAACATCTCACGACATGGATGAATCTGGAGGACATTATGCTGAGTGAAATAAGGCAGTCACAAAAAGACAAATACTGTATGAGACCACAATTATTAGAACTTAAGAAAAGGTTTAAACACAGAAAAGAGCATTCTTTGATGGTTACGAGGGTGGGGAGAGGGGGGAAGGGAAATCACTAACTAGATAGCAGACAAGGATCAACTTCGGTGAAGGGAAGGACAACACACAATACAGGGGAAGTCAGCACAACTGGACCAAAGCAAAAGCCAAGAAGTTTCCTGGATACATCCAAACACTTTGAGGAACAGAGTAGCTGGGGCCTGGGGACCACAGTTTCGGGGGATACCTAGGTCAACTGGCATAACTTAGTTTATTAGGAAAATGTTCTACATCCCACTTTGGTGAGTGGCATCTGGGGTCTTAAAAGCTTGTGAGTGGCCATCTAAGATACATCAATTGGTCCCATCCCATTCGCAGCAAAGGAGAATGAAGAAAACCAAATATACAAGGAAAATTCTAGCCCAAAGGACTAAAGGACCAAATGAACTAGAGACTCCACTAACCTGAGACCAGAAGAACTAGATGGTGCCTGGCTACCACCAATGACTACCCTGACAGGGAACACAAC